CAGGGTCGTGTCGCCGTTAATAAAAAGAAGTCACTTATTTAATATTATTGTAATGTTCGTGGGTTTAACAAAATTAACTTCTAACGACAAAACCATTTATTTTTACTAATTATTAAAGAACTTAAAAACACTATTAAATTATTACTAAACTTAGGTTATGAATTATTCTATTTATTCACTCTACTGTTGATATATCACTATTCACTGCGCTATTTATTTCACTGCTATCACTGTCAATTTATTTCTCGATTCCTTCTGCAACGGCGATCGTCTCTTTAAATATTCTTTTATTTACTTCCGAGAACCTTCTGGAAACATCCGGATAATTTATTTTTTCTTTGAACTGTTTAACTGCTTTCCCAGAACGCAGGTACGACACACACATTTACAAATACGGCGCACATGAAGAAAGGCGCCCGCGGCTAGTCGGCGAATTGATAAGCCGTTCAAGCACACGTGTGCCTGATCGCACACAAACACACTCGTGCTCGCTACATTATTATTTTCCCAATAATTACAGAGAGACAAAATTATTTGATGGCATGTCTATGACATGATTAAACTTCTCTTTATAAAAATGGCTGTCTGCTGTCGTATGTGACGACCGCTCCAGCGGTCTCGCAATTTATACTATTCGCTTGGGAGACGGGGCCAGTTTCCATCGATGATGCTGTGTTAATATTTAAACATAACTTCAAATCATAGTCCGAAATAGAAGATGAATCAAAACTTTAACCAGCAGAGCAAGCAAGATATGTGAACCTGACCATCTTGGTGATGAATTAAAACATACAGCAACATCTCTGAGATGGAACGGTTAGTCTTATAAAGAGATTAAATGTGCAATTAATCTCAAGAAGTCCAAGATCACCGCAGAAGAGCCTACTGGCATGGGAAAAGCCTTTTATGTAGAAGGAGTCACAGATCGGATTGAGAAAACACTGTTTAGATACCATTTACAAACCTACCAGGAAACTTAAACACTGTTGCAAAACGGCGAAAGACAAGATACCCACTTTTATCATTAGGTGTTTATCGTATTCATTGTAACTATGAACAAGTAAACGTCGGCACAACAAAAATAAGTATTGATACACGTCTATTTGAACAAGAGATATAGAAAAATTTGCCACCGCAAAACATGCCCTCACCCAGGACAGACATTGAATTTTCTCCAAGGACACCCAAATTCTGGATAGAACGGTCCACTATTACACCCGGCTTCAAAGGGAGTCCATAGAAACTACAAATCTGCAAATAACTTCAAGAGAAAGGAACAAGGCACAAGACTCAATAAAACTGGGTACCAGCCGTAGTGAAAATTAAAACGCTCCCATACTAATAGTATAAACTGCAAAATCGCCGGATTGGTCGCAAACGCAGCAAACATCCGAGAAGAACACTTCGAGATAGAAATCTACTCCACTGTCCTCAACATCACCGAAGATGTAAACTATACCCGCTGACTAAACGTCAGGCAGCAACAAACCAGACCATTCGTTTTTCCACTTGTCCGTTAGTTTCACTTCTACTATATGTCCCAGCGCACATTTCGTTTTCACAGGTTTACTGCAAATTATGATTTGGTTTTTACACAGACCGCAAATAGAAGCAATGATGCGCAGCCACGTGTAGAGCTGAGGTAAGAAAACAACAGTTGAGCACACCACACGCCGTCGGGACTCTAGCGGACTCCTCGCTCTTCGCGCGGCTGCGCATTATATCCATCTAATATAACCATTGCCCTCTCTCCCTCCGCCGCTGCCGTCTCACCCCACGTGAGATACCCCGTCCACGCGGCCGTAACGGTGTTTCGTGACAGAAAAAAATCGTAATATCCTGTCTATATAGAAGTTTCATTTCAAAAACTAAACTAGCGGGGAATAAATAAGGCCAAGCGGACTACAGATTGGGTGCGGTCGGCAGCAGCCCTAGTGATTCACGCACTCACGCGTACCCTGCAAGTCNACTTTACGTATTAAAACCTTTTCTGCTTTTGAATTTTATGATAGAACTGTTAATTTAACTAATGTCTCTTTTACTAGTAACGAGCTAGATTTTGTAAATAAAGGCATACAGTCTTAATACTTCCAAAAATTTCGAATTATTAGGAATAAATACGGAAATAGCCCTAAGTAAACACAATAACTCTAATACAAACTTAAAATACGTTTTGAGCAATCACTTAGTAAATAGTTACAAAAAAAAAAAATAAAACAAAACTGTGTCCACATACTGATAGAATCCTTGTTAACATTATGTTGGTGTTTCTGAAATAAATAGCACGCGTTGGAGGGTGTTAACTACAAGTAATAGCGTGGTGAATAAGGCACCGTGGTTAAGGGACAAAAAACTTTGGGAGAAAACTAGATGAAGTTGCAATTCGAAGTCAGTCTTGGTCTTAAACTGGCAGCATATAAAAAAAATTGCGATAACAATTAAGCAACTACATTGACGAAAAATGCAAATAGAAATGGTTGTGGAACGACTAATAAAGTAAATATCAGCAGCTTACTACTACATTACTACACATAATAATCTTTAGATTAATTAAATAATTATTTGGTTCATCGCTAATAGTATAGCATTTGAAGTACACAATCGACACGGTATTGAGAACACAAAAGAAATAAAAGATTAACGTTACGTAAACATTAACAGGTATACTAAAATCCCCTGGATATATAATAGTAATTTTATTAAATTTCCTAACCACCATTGAGGTATTGCTAAAATGTGTTACCTACCTTTTTTATGCTTGGTTCGTCAATGGTCCTATCCGTATTCATTTTCAGCGATCATACACGACCCTGCAAATCATTAGTGTTTTGCACTGGAGTTTCATACACATTGTTTTACACAATACCATACAAAGACGTCAAACGAATTTAGATCAGGACTACGCGCCGGCCAGGGTACAGGACCCTTCGTCTAGGAAAATGTTCCGTCTAGCAATTCACGCATTGGTCGATGCAATAATACTATTTTGCACTAGCCTATGACACTGACACATTGACCTACATCTAATGACTTTGACTTCTAGGCTGGCTGTAAACATTAACATCCTAATTATACTTAATCTAATCTAACAAATAACAAACAATACATGAGTACAAAAATGTGTAGTGCCCTATCACCTCTTGCAGGCTTGCTACTTATTTCAGAAACACTCTGTATAGGACAGTTGGGCAGTTCCACAAAAAAAGACAGGAACTTAGATAAAAACAAAGAAAACCAAAAGGTAGCTAAAATATGTGTAGTACAATCCATAGCTAAATGACGAGAAAAAAATTCCATCGACCTAGAAAATGCCAGAACGGATGCAGAAATATTAAGAATAGTTAAATCTAGAAACAAATCAACTCTAGATATCAAAACAAACAAGTTCTTCAATAGTAAAGGACAGACCCTACTCAAATCAAATAGATATTAATCGAAGGTGGTACGAATATCATAAACAACTTCGGAACGAAGAATACTCAAGTAACAGTATCAAACCTTTACCACCAATTGAAAGTCCAATCCAGAAAGTTAGTAGGGA